AAAAAAAAAAAAAAAAGACCTACAGCAAATTCCAGGGTAAACATGTTTATAATACGTTCACAGACCTATAACTAAATACATTCAATTGAAGGTTTTGTGTAACTCGTGGGCAAGTTATTTAGTCTTTTTGAGACTCAGCTTTCTCGCATATGAAATAATACACACCTATTAAGGCAGCTGCAGAGATCAGAAACAATGTATTTAAGGTATCTAACGCAGGGCCTGGAACACAGCAGGCTTTCAATAAATGCCACTATAAAGAATAGAATCTATAGAGCAAAAATCCACTATTAACTCAGATTATATTCCATGGATTTAAATGTCTTATAAAGGGTTAAGGCTAAAATAATTTAATTATAATAGTTTAATTTTATTACCATCAAGTTCACAAAAGTGATCCTGTGAATCATCATATCTTGCCCAGTCAATGAAAGCTTCTTTGCTTTGATTACTATGGGAAGGAGGAATAAAAAAGAAAAATGATTAAATTTGGAGTTGAAAATTTTAACACTGTATTCTAGTGTAATTAAAAGAAATAATCTTAGGTCACTTCTTTATTAGATGATGTCACAAATTCTGTCATTAGTGACTTCATGAAGGAATGATAAAAAAATTATATGAAAAACACTAAATTCCATGAGCAATTTATATTTTTAAATACATTAAAATTATTAGCCCTAGTCTAATAATTGTTTTGCTTAGAAATTAATTTACAAATACATGTAACATGCAGTTAAAACACAAAAATCAAGCTGGCCTTTTCAGTTAAGTTAGAAATTGTAATAATGTTTATATTTCTTCTTGAAATAAATAAAATTTATTTTTAGAATTCTCTTGACTTAAATTGCTCCTACAATTATGGGATCCAAATACTAAGAACTGTATTTCTTTTAGCTTCCAACCAATGTGGTATTCCAGGTTATACCAATACCACTCTTATCATAGTTTATCATTTTACATCCTAATTCACGTTTAACAAAATCTATGATCAGGGCTGGGTGCTGTGACTCACACCTATAATCTTAACACTTTGGAGGCCAAGGTGGGTGGACTGCCTGAGCTTATAAGTTCGAGACCAGCCTGAGCCAGAGCAAGACTTTGTCTCTAAAAATATCCAGGTGTTGGCTCGGC